TATTTTGTTTTTTCAAATTTTAAATTATTGTTTATTGTTAAGTTATTAGCCGAATATAGACAAGCAGAGTGGCAGTTTCAATCAGTTGAGGACCAATGCGCCTTTGCCGTATGGCACATTTTTTGAATGGAAAAATGATAATTGAGATATATCACTGAACAAAAAGAACATAGTATTAAACTGAATCCATATAAACATGCATCTGAAGTGTTCATAAATAATATTAAATGTCTCCACAACCCTCAGTGGCAAAACAAGAGCACTTCCCACAGTTCCAGTGCAACCAAGTTTAGTTACTGGATCAGTAACTATTTGGGTCCTTGAAGTATATATTTAAACAGAAACAACTCACAATGTTTACTGGATGTTAAAATACTAATCAATTTCATGGTAATTATTTTAGCTGTACAGTATTTGATAAGGTACAATACCAATACAGCATAGGAACCAATAGAGGAACGTAACTAAAATTGAAGATAAATATATTTCATCCACATACTGTACTCGCGAGAATAAGCTCCTGGACTCTTACAATATTTTTGGCTCTTTTTGAGGGGCGTTTATGAAAACAGAGTGGAAATTGAGGGGGGTGCTTATGGAAATAGATGAAAATGGAAGGGGTGCTTATGGGAAACTGGAAAATTCAAGGGGCACTATTTTTTTAATCGAAGGTAAACAAATGGTTTTGGTGAAGAAAAGATACTCGTTGAGAGAGCATGACAAGAATGTTGGGGGTATTTACACAACAGCAGATGAAATTAGTGGTGGTGGTGGTGGTAAGCGAGTTTGCGCGAGTACGGTAATTTATAACAATGTTAATAGAATAAAATAAAATATTAAAAGTATATGAAATAAAAATAAATGAATTACTACAATATAAAGGGGAATATGAATACTTATTGGATATATCAATGCTCATAGAATATTTAATTCAATATAAAAATATATAATATAATGATAATTATTTATTCTAACATACACCTTCATGTGTGTTCACAAAGAGCAAAATATACAAACTTAACAAAAGCACAATAAATAAAAGCATATATTAACTAATATCTTTAGAAACATACAAGACAGTGTAATTGTTCAAATGTTTAAAAAAAATTATATTGTGAGCCATGCTAGGCCAATTAGTCTATATAAAAATCAACTATTTAAACATGTTTTCACTTACAAAATAAAAAAGATTGGAATTTCAACAACCACAATAAAATAGTACACGATATTGGCTAATTTGTCAACATTATGGGAAAATTACTGGTAAATTGGCCAATTTACATGCATAAAAAGAGTTGTAAATGACAGTTATTTTATACAATGCTATGTAATTGTGGCATGTTTAGTATATACCTATGTCACTTTTACTGTGTAGTACCGTAGACATTGAAAGCACTGAGCACTGTAATTGTTATCATAGGTTGATCTACTGCCTATTTATACAAAGGCTTCAAGATATTTCAGTTTTGGGATAAAATAGCAGGTCTCTTGAAGGCTTGGAAATAAGACAAATTCAGAGTCAAAATAGAAATACTGTACATCAAATCCAATGGTGTATCCCCTCCCCACTCCCTCCACTTCAAGATTCCTAGATACGCTCACTGATGAAATTAATATTCCAGTTCTTTACACATTGCACAATTAAGTCATAAAATAATAACAGACAGCCCCTGTGGTGGACGACGAGTGGTACCAAAATTATTTACATGATTGAACCCAACCAAAATTTCTGGTCATTACAGAAGATAACGGAGAGAATGGCAGCTTAAAACAAATAATTCCAATCTGCCATCCGGAACAACCTGTCCTGAAATCTGAGGAACTTTCAAACGTAAACTAAATTCTCTAAATCTAAAGCCCCGTCAAGTATACCAAATTTTATTTGAGAAAAACAAAATTTGATATTGTGGATAAAGCTTAACAATATTTCAGACTACAATAAAAGCAACAAGTCATATTGCTGCTCACACTACACAACAGCTTCTCTAGTCAAACAAAACAATCAGCAATGAAAAAAAAACCATAAAACTTTTTGATGGTCATGCGATACTGATTACCTTACTGGAGAAAAGATCATTCTAACGCAAAATATTTTGCCAAGATAAAAACCATCGCAAATTTGTCACACTATGAGAAACCAAAAAGTAAGCAACTGCTTAACATCTTCTGAAATATGCTTGTGTACTATATATTAAAGTGCCCTCTTCAATTCAAGACCACTTTGGGACCTGAAAATTTGAGGTGGTCGCGGATTTGGTCTTCACTTGTAGGGTTAGATTTGTGCTAAAAGATAAAAGAATATTATTTGGTTCTTTGAAAAAGTGGTGTCAAATTAGATTTAATTAGAACGGTCTTGAATTAGAGGGTGCACTTTATTTAACTTGCACTTCTACCGTCCAGCTAAAACAAAACAAGTGTGATGGAATTGGACGGGAAAATCCCGATCCGGATACCAAGATATGATGATCGAATCACTGGCCAATAAAAAACTGGAAATTGTAAACGCGTACGTGTAAATTGGTTGATGATAGAAATGCGCTCACTTGCTAACCATTAGCGGTATCCAGATACCGCTAACGGTTAGCGCTAACCGATCGAGCGTTCTCACACAGGTGCTAACAGTTAGCACTAACGGTTAGCTCCTGATCCGGATACTAGGTCTCTCGTAAGAAAAACAAATAAAAGGGCATGAGAAGCATCAGGGTTCTTGATAGACTTGCCACAAGTCTCTTATTTTTAATAATTTTTCTCATTCTGGACAGCGCCACGAGTATGGGACGCCAATTAAATTAGGTATGGCGTGCACTAAGTGCAATAAAGAGTGAGTAACCCAAAAGTAGGGCCTGGAACCCAGGCTAAGTTCTTGAAAGCGAGCACTATTTAGCAGTGGATAACATCACAAGTCAAAAATAAGCTATAACCATTCCCATCAATATTCTTCAACACATAGAATTGGATCAGGAAGTGAGCTGCTGCAAAAAATAATGCAATACTACTACTGCTGCTGCTGCTGCTACTGCTACTGCTACTGCTACTACTAATAATAATAATAAGTCAGACTTTAAGGAAATATCTTTTGTTTTATTTTTTCCCTTAATGATGTCATTTTTTTAATTGTTCTCTAATTTCTCCATTGTCTAAGTTCCACTTAATGTAGTAACATAATAATAATAATAATAATAATAATAATAACAATAACAATAATAATAATATACTGTAATTTATTTAAATTGAGTAAAATACGAAGAAAAAAATAAATAAATGGCAATGATGTCATGTTTTTAATTGTTCTCTAATTTCTCCATTGTCTAACTTCCACTTAAGGTAGCAACAGAATAATAAAAATAATAATAATAATAATAATAATATACTATACTGTAATTTATTTAAACTAAGTAAATATGAAGAAAAAAATAAATGAATGGCAAGAGAAGCATCAGGACTTTTAAAAATGAGCACCATTTAGCGTGGATACCTGAGTTTGTCAAAAATAAACTGCAGCCATTCCTCTCAATATTTTTCAACACACAGATAAGGATTAACTGCATTGTCACAGCTACATTTGACACTGTACCGAGATAGTCCTTTCCTGCTGGACGCAGGGTTCCCGGAATGCCGCCCTCAGCGGCGTGTGCGAAGCAACTCAGAGTCAGAAGTGGAACGTGAATTTCGATTTGGTTTTGTAGTCAGATTTTCGAGAAAAACTTCAGCTACCCGTATTTCTCGACTGAGACGTCAATGGGAGCTGTAATTTGTATGGCAAGTAGATGGTGCTACCCTAATTTGTATTAAGGGAATTTACGCCCACAAACCTTGTAGTTATTAATATTTTGGTTATAATAGAAAATTTTTATTTTTTGGTGACGTCACACTCACGCTAAAGTTAGCATGTATACGTCATAAGCTAGATTACGTCACCTTTTCCTGGTAAAGCAAACTTTCCCGGTGTGCTTTTTTCATGGATAAACAAACACCACTGCTTTGCACATGAGTACCTTGTCTAGCTATGGGTACACGAGCCGCATAGTTAGCATCTTAAACAAGGTACGTCTGCAACTGAATTATTCTTAGGCCCTAGTTAATTTTCTTTCTTATTTTATTATTTTAATTTATTTCTTTCGAAAGTGTACTTTCTATCACATAAAATTGCACTGTCTACTTAGGCCTAGTCATATTATGCTTCATCGTCCCCTGCTATACACAGTACATCAGTAGGCTAGCCCCCACCCCCCACGCTACAGTACAGACGTTTGCTAGGCAACAGAACGTGATTGCACCTTTCTTACCAGGTGCTCATGTAAATTTGCATAGGCCTATTGTTAGCTAACCAGCTGAGTGTATTCCTTTGTGAAAATGAGTACCGCGGGCCGCCGCGTACTCATTTTCACAAAGCATTTGCATCCCCTCTTGAAAAGAGGGAACTTCGTAATAGGAAAAGAGGGAACT